ACCTTAGAAAATTTGTTATTCCAACATGCAAATACAACCTGTATTTCTCTCATTTTGCAGGTTGGGATGGAAAATGCAGATTATCTTGCTGCATTTTTCCACGTGTTGCTTCCAATGGCTTTTGAGGTAATTTTTTACTGCTTTGCTATTTGAATAGCAAAACCAAAGACTACTTCTTAAGTACTACTTAGACAGGTACCATTGAATATTTTGTGGAAATGCAGTCATAGCCAGTAGCACAGTTAACACATTATTTCTGCTGTTGTGACTGATGTCCTCATCAACTGATTGGTATTTATGGAATGTTAGCTTTCAAATATTCAACATAAAGATCTGTAACTTCTCCACAAGGAATGAAAATAGTGTAAAAGGGTAATTTAAAAGGGTAGGTTTTATTCAAGGAGAGTATTTATTTGTGTTCATATTCTAGCTGAACTAACAGCTGAACATGGCACAGTTGAAATCCAGTACAAATTTGAAAATAGGACATAGGAATGTGCTACAACTCTCTCTGTTTTATAACAGTTTGGTCCTGAACTGGTTATTGTCTCCTCTGGATATGATTCTGGGATTGGTGACCCTGAAGTAAGTAACTTGTGGCCTTTGTGTTGTCAGTCACAAATCTGTTTGCAAAATATTCCTACCTCTGAAATGTCCTGTGCTTGCCAGGTGAAATGCACTTTGACCAAGCTAAAACCATGTTTGAATCTTTAAGCTGACCCCCACAGCTCATTATATACAACAAGACATTTAAAGACAAATTATCCCATAGATGTAATTACTGTGGTGGTTTTTGCACCCTCCTGTAAAGCAATGAGTTCAGCATTTTGTTAGATATGAGAGGCAAGTGTTCCAGTACTCCATCTCAGACTCATATATTTCACATTGCATGGGGGTTTTTTTACCAGTGTTTTTGATTCAGGGATTTAGCTCTTAAAATCTTTTCTTTGATTTAGGGTCAGATGAATGCCACTCCTGAGGTTTTTGCCCATCTTACCCATTTCCTGAAGCAGCTGGCTGATGGAAAGCTGTGTGTCATCCTAGAGGTAAAGACTTTGGAAACGTACTCACGGGGGGGCTCTTTGTTCTAGAGCCATATAAGGCAAAATAGAAGCTAGGAAGTGAAACTTTGTAACAAAATAATTTATTCTTTTGTCTTTCTTTTGAGAATCAGGATTGCAAAAGTGGCTAAGGTTTGACAGCGTTCTGATACACTAAAAGAAATCCATGTCTTAAAAAATGATTTTTTTTCAACTTAAAATTTGGAAGCAGAGGAGCATATGTTCATTTTAGGGACATCGGTGGTGACCTGGCAGTGTTGGGTTAATGGTTGGTCTTGATGATCTTGAAGATCTCTTCCAACCAGAATGACTGTGACTGTTCAAAAAACCCATATCCTCCACAGATCTGTTCAGTTCATGTGAACAGTTGACTGATCTCCTGCTCTTGACAGTTACAAACTCATTAAAATGTATTTGGTGAATAAGTTGAATTACAAATGTTTTTACAAGTATGCCTTATTCCAGGAGAGTTTTAAAAACTTTGAACCTAAATATACTCCTGCTTAGTAATGGAGCCCTTACTAAATACACTAATATTTGATTTAAAAACCTCTGTGCAAGCTTTAGAAAAATGGTGGCTTTTCAGAGAAATAAGTATGTGGAAGTATTAGTGCCAACGAGAGTGCACTGTTTATGGATTGATTCACTTGACCTCTGTTCTGGATGACCCTTCTTCCATCACCCTGCTCTCCAGCAGGTTATTACAGGTATATTCTGTCAGCTAGCTGCAGTGCAAATAAGCATCCCCTCCTAATACAGAGGATGTGACAGCTCTACAGGTGGTGTGCAGGAAGGAGTCTAACATCTATGCAACTAACACAAAATACCTCTTTCTAGGGTGGATACCACTTAAAGTCGTTGTCTGAATCAGTCTGCATGACTGTAAAAACTTTGCTTGGAGATCCTCTACCTCAAATAACTGGAGAAATGGCACCTTGTCTAAGGTAAGCATCTGAAGAATTTTAGAGCAGCTCATGTGTTTATCACAGAGACTAAAAATTTGCATGCTTTTAACATTTTGCTGAAGCAAAGTTTTAATATGATGCTTTTTAATACATTATTTTCTGCTTTGGATAATTTGCTTTCCAAAAAGTCACCCAAGATACCTTTTTTTTTTTTTTATACTTTTGTTTCTGAAATTATTTTAAGTTGCAAGAACTTAATGGCTTACAATTTTATGCCATTTTTCCTTCGGCCTTGTTATCCTGTAGAGATCCATCTCACTCAAGGCTGAGATAATCCTGCTGTAATCAAGGCAATGCCAGTTAATAGCAGCCAGTATTTGGGAAGGTATGTAACTGCAAGGAGTAGCTCTGGAGGCTCCAGAGCCACTTGAGCTGCAGCAGTTAAGCAAGGACTGGAGGCAACCCTTTCCTTT